ACCAGAATTTTTTTTTTTCTGCTAAGGTCTAATCGTTCTTTCTGCCTCCTGCTATCAAACCCCGAAGCCTTGTTCAGCCTTCGACACCTCCCGCTGCTCAGAGCAACAGCAAAAGGAAAAACATAACTGTTGAAATTGCCTCGATCAGCCCTGTGAAGGCTTAATGACTCACTAAATAGCCTATAACAACAAAGCCATTTAGAAAAACAGATGAATAAATCTTTTTTGATGAAAATGAAGAAACCCTATTGCTGGTGACTGAGAAAGCAGTTGAGGCTTTTTAGCTGGGTAAAAGAAAAAGAAAAGTTTCTTTCACACGCTTCAGTCCAGCCCAGAATGGGGGTCCTTCTAGTCTTAAGTTAGATGAAGTAGAGATCAGAGCAGAGATCAGCAGGAGACAGACTTTGGTTAAAAGAAGAAACCCGAAGGCAGCAAGGGCTGTAATTTCATTTATTCCACTACATCGCGGGTCTGCCGGTGCATTTATGGCTCTGCGTCTTATCAATATTTCACTTGTGCCACTCAAAAACGTCCGTACAGCCTCCATCTGGCAAACATCTGGCTCATCTGCTGGCGCTCTCGCTTCTCTCACCCCGCATTTTATCGTCTTTCGCAGTAAACACCTACAGTCCATATGCAGCCCGCTTTTCGCAGCACGTGTTTGGCTCTGCTCGGAGCTAGAATCCAATCCTGTGTTTCACAGTCTGACCGTAAACGAGCAGCAGAGAGAAGCGCATCCAAGACACGAGTAAGAAACCGGTCATTCAAACTACATTTACAGGCAGGCAGGGGTGCACGCTGTTTCAGAGGGCACCCTCTCTCTGCTTAGAGTACATTTTTTGCCAAAAAGAAATATGTCAAGATTAAATCGTGAATGGTTTCACCAACAGCTGTTGATCGATCATGGGCTGTGAATAAAAGCCAAAACTGAGAGAGATAAAGGTGCCGCAACAAATCCTCTCCCCGACCCAGGTGTCTGAGGAATGTTTTGACACCCCACCCTCCCTAATCCCTATTCCATGCAATATCTTTCTAGTTTATTTATTGCAAACTTTCCAGATCATTTGAGAAGCACCCTATAATAAATAGCCTGTATTGATCTTTTATGGCTGGAAGCTTTGGGCAGAATTCAGACAGCCGTTCCAGCGAGCGGCATGTGAACTCCAGCATAGTTTTACACCCAGCATTTAAAGTGCAGCATTGTCTCGAGGGTGGCTCTTCTCTGTCGTTGTAGCTGCCCTGATGACTGAAGCACATTTTCTTATTGTCACATTGTTTGGCTCACATAATGTCACACAGTGCTGTCGGACTGTGATTTACAGCCCAAGTGTTGTGTCACTGTAACACTGTGGTTTGTTGCAGAAATTTCAACTGAATTTCTTGCAGGAAAAAGTTTAGCAAGAAAGCCGTGTGAGCAGCTTCTTACAACATCTAAATGTAAAAATTTATCACCGTGTGCCAGATTTATGTTCAACTGGATTATTGAAGTGAAAAAGAACATTTCTTGATTGATTATTGAAGAGAAATCAAGACATTTTCTGGACTACATACACCCATGGGACACTTCATTAGTTACACCTTGCTAGTACTGTCTTGGACCCCTTTTTGCCTTAAGTTTTCATGGCAAAGCTTCAACAAGGTGCTGGAAAGATTCCTCAGAGGTTCTGCTCCTAACTCACATGACAGCGTCACATGGTGGCTGCAGATTTGTCAGCTGCACATCCATAATGAGAATCTCCTGTTCCACCACATCCCACAGGTGCTCTATTGGGGATTTGGTGACTGTGGAGGCCATTTGAGGACAGTGAACTCATTGTTGTGTTCAGCAAACTGGTTTGAGATGATATGAGCTTTGTTACGTGGCACCTTATCCTGCTGGATGCAGCCATCAGAAGTAATAGTTGTGCTTCCACTCCAATAAAGAGGAGATGATGTATGCAGTGTTTAAACTTTCAAATTTCAAGAGAAACTTATTCTTGCATAAAGTCTTACAGTTTATATCCAAGAACAGTTTCACTTGGATAAAGTAGCTCCAGTTTATTCTAAATGCTGTTTAAAAAGCTTTAAAAAAGTGTGGAATCTAACATCCCGAGTGAACTTGTTGTTTTGATTCCCCTGCACTTAAGCACTGAAGAAGTGAAGTGAAAGCAAATCAGTCACTGGAGACTAATTTTACCACGCTTGCTGATGCTTGAAGTAAACTCTGGCCCCTCTTCAGACATGATCCGGATGTATCTGGAAACAAATACTCAAGCCCGAGTAGGGTCACTGTCACTTTCACAAACTTTCTCCTCTTTTCTTTCACAAAGGAATTAGTTAGAAACTCTTTTTAATCCTGACTAATCTTAGCTGTTACTCTGGGGTCGTGTTTGATTGACAGCCTCTGACACTTACAGGGGCACAGCTATAGTTTACAGCTTTGTAAAGACACAGGACAAAGCAGTCTATCCCACTGTGCTTCTGGCTGAGGACATGATACTGTGGAGCCGGCTGACCCCTGGTAGTCATAATATCAGCAAGCGAGTCTGAAACTAAGGCGCGGGGAGGCCATGCTGAGACTGCCAAAGCGCTCAGCTGGTGCTCGAGGGGGGAAAAAACTGGGAGAGAAAACAAGGCTTTGGTTTCACATTTGACCAGACTATAATTAGAGAGAGAAAAAGATTAGAATATGGCCGACGGTGCCACAAGACACCCACACACCCCGCTATCATGCATACACACACATCCACTCATTTGTGGCCCTTGCAAGCCCAGTGGGCTGGCCACTAATCCTGCAGCACATTTACAATCTGTAACGACAACCTGATACCCCCGGCAGGCCACGGCGAGCACACACGTCCCTTTATGCTGCTCGTGTACGTGTCAGTAGCAACAGCTGCATCTAAAACCCTCCTTGTCTGTCTCACCTGGCCGCAGATCAGCTGATTGGTTTTCCCATTCCCTCGGTGAGGAGCAGAGACAGGCATAATATGTGATCTGTGGCCAGTGAGGGCCTGTGAAAAGTCAGGATAGAAAACCCCCTACGGTGCTCTGGCGAGTTCACCCATATCGGATCATCAGCCTGCCGCATGCTCCAGCACGGTCTCTGGCCCCATCTCCCCTGACGGTCCTCGCTGTGTCAATGAACAGAGGTGGAGTATTGAAGACATCCGCAGTATGTCAGTGATACTGAACCGCGGGCCATTAGCAGCTATAGAGACACATCCAGCCGGCTGTCCAAGCCTAATCTGTCTCCGCTAAAAGCCTCAGAAATGCAACCTTATACGGCGCCTATGGGAATATATGTTTCCAATAGCTCTCCTCAGGAATGAATACCTGGCATATGTCGCTATTATACTTTTTCCCCACTTCTTGTGTCCACTCGGTGTACAGTAAACACAAGGGGCTGTTTCAAGGCGAGGCTTGAGAACAGGCCTCGTTTTCTCAGACTCACAGATTCCACAAGGGGCTCCTACATCATGCTGTCATATTGGAGCTAATGAAAATCGTATTCTACGCAGGGATCCTCTTAGCGCTGCAAAAGGCACATGCTAACCAGGGGGATTAGTCCTGTAATGCTAGGGGACTTTAATTTCAGCTCCAGCATAAGTCATTGCTGCTGAGTACTAACATTGATATATGGCTTAGGAGTGACTAGCATGTGTCAGGAGAGCTTTCTGCTCAGGCGGGTGCCTTGCGGACGAACTCAGTTGAATCTCACAAGATGCTGGGGATGATTAAGGCTGACATGATGAGATCATGTAAACAAAACCAGAGCCTGCGTGCATCTTTTTGACGGTCCAGCCTGAGCACTTTTTCTTCAGCTGTGGCCTTGTTGAGTTGCCCAACTTTTCACCACTTGTCATCAGGTATTGCTGTATTCACAACTCTTTAGGGAAACGCATCATCGGTGAACATGATGGGTAGAGACTCCCCAAACAAATCAATAAATAACTTCCTGCACACTTAAACAGCTGCTCCTGGTGTACCCTTTAGCAAAGCACTGCTTCAGGGGATCTGAATGTTAAATGTGAAGAACAGCACAAACCAGGCAGCTGCAGAGAGCATGCATGCTCAGTGTATCTTCATTAGGCAAATACATGATTTGAAAGGTCAAGACCAGTAGTCACACTTTGTATGATGTTGCCAGGGGAATCATCTCTTCATGTAAATGTGCAGAACAATCATTACAGCCAATAATAAACCAAGTATGGTGGCATTATTGCTGCAACATAAAACCTGCCCTCACTCTTGATTATAAAGACAAATATTCCAAAAAGTCTTGCTTTTTTTTCAGTCATGTATGCCAAATGTGGTTCAGGATTTGACACTAAAATATTCCTCAGATAACATTTGCACAGTTGGCTTTTTTTCTTTATTATGGAATCAGGGACTTAACCTTGAAGGTTTGGGCCTGGTAAAAATCCCAGTGGGGTTTATAAATATTGTTGCAGGTGAAAAAATAAAACTGACGCTTTACCTGCCTGAATAAAGGCTCCCACATTAAACCACAGACAGCAGTTACAGTAATGTCACCAACTGATTAGTAACATCCTATTATGAAGAAACGAGATGTTTTCACTATAGTCATCTTGGTGTTTTGAAACATGTCAAGGGAGTGTTGGATCTGATTGTGAAACCGCATACTTACTGAGTAATGACTTTTCAACCACAAGTCGATAGCCAGTGTGCATATCGTGGACAGTCCTTCTTTCTCGCTCTTAGAATGACCAAAATGTACAGAATGGACTTTATTCATGACCCAAAATGAGTGACTGAGCCCATTAACTCATCAGGAAAGTGTTGAGAGGTTGAGGCTGAGGGTCTTTTTCCCATGGATTTCTATAGGACAGGAAGCCTTATTTCCCCCCACCACCACCCACCAGCTGTATTGCCCCAAGGTGCCCATTAACAAGAATGCAGGTTTCAAAGCCCTTCCGTACTGGCTTCGCTTTTCAGACCCTGCAGCTATGTCTGTCTTTTAACACTCATGGCGGTTATGTTTCTTCTGTTCCTTCCAGATTCTACCGGGGTGACTACCACATCGACGTCTGCATCAATGACTACCTTGACATCTACTGTCCGCACTACATCGGCCCAGTTGCTGATGATCGAGCAGAGCGCTACGTCCTCTACATGGTGAACTACGACGGCTACAGCTCATGCGACCACAACTCCAAGGGCTTCAAGCGTTGGGAGTGCAACAGGCCTCTGTCGCCAAACGGACCGCTCAAGTTCTCAGAGAAATTCCAGCTCTTTACGCCCTTCTCCTTAGGCTTTGAGTTTCGCCCTGGCAGAGAGTATTATTATATCTGTGAGTATCTGCCTTTTGGATATTGCTAGCATTGCAGTTAGAATTAAATGCTTGATCCGATTTCTTTTTTTTTTCTCATTTTTTATGCATCAAATTAGTCCACATTATAGAAATTCAAAGCTCTTAATTTCAGTAATTTTCTACAAACCAAGAAGTTATTATTTTGGTATTGCTGCTAACTCAGTGGTACAGGTATACTATGTGCACACGTCACCACAATAAGAAGCTCCAAGTATGAAACACATCTGTAGACCAGTATGAAAGTTATCTTGGAATTTCGCAAAAAAGACATCAGTGTTCAAATATTGTTTTGCAAGTCCTTGGAACCAGGGCCAAACCAAAACACAAGCCAGAGGGAACAAAGTATCTCTACTGTTGAGGTCTCGCTCGAGGTGCCGTTTGTTGCTGACTGGCTGAGCTCAGTTTTCTCCTCCTCGTGAGAAGACTCGGGGAAAACAAGCAGCTGGGAAGTCATGTTTTCATAAGTGAAGTCAGTGCCCTGCAGGGCCAGAAGACATGGACTAAATGAGACACAGAGCGCTCGATGGTAGATTTGAGGTATTTAGCTGACACTTGTGGTCGGGAAAGACCCTCACTGGTACTGACATTAATAAGGAGTGGAAGAGTAAGCGGAAAGACTGCTTTGGCATCACAACAAAGATAATAAGATAATAGAGAATATGTAGAAAGCTTATTTCCCATACTTCCCCCACAGTGCTAGTGCAGCTTGGCAGCCTTGCCTCCAGACTGAGGTCACTGATTTAACCCGTCAAACAATAATTTCCACTTTTATTGTAAGAAAATATTTCGGAAACTTTAACGACACAGCCAGATCAAAGGTGACACCAGAGATTTTCGAAGGTACTAACTTTGAACATTCCTTTCCTTCCATGGATGTTTCCCCGTGCTAGCATCTGGGATCTTAATATCATCAAGACTGCCGTCCTGCGAGTTCTACCGGATCTCATTCTGTATTTTCATTGCAGTATTTTGTATTGTGATATATTACCCGTCACTGGATGTTTCTGTTGGATCTCTGTGTCAATTGGCTAGTCTGTTTGACTCCATTCTCTTTATTGTTTAGGGAGATTGCGTTGTATTTATAGTGCTGCCAAAGAATTGTTGATGTTGTTGCAGTTCCTCAGATGTGGATAAGAAAAGTTATAGATTGCTTAATTCTGCTGCATTTGTTGAGTTGGCACTGAACTGACAGAAGCCAAGGTTTTCTGCAGATTGATGATGATTGATCATCGAAAGAGAGAGAAGAAAGGCAGAGAGACAGTCCATATGCCCGAAACTGCACAAAGCCATATGGACTTTATCTTGCTGACTCAGATTCATGACTCATCAATCAGATACTTGTTTCTTTTCTTTTTCCTCTGAGAACACAGGGTCTGACCACAGGATTAAATGACAAACTAGAAAGCGAAAATTTCTGAAGAAATTTTAAGTGTGCCTATGCTACTGCCAATGAGTGTAGTTTGCTTTTAATGTGGTGCAATAAGTGCAGGTTTCCATTTATAACAATAGGGGGGAGCAATATGCAACATGAGCATAGTTTGCTATTTATACCACAAGAGGGAGGGAAATTGAATACAGCTGATTTTCAAGTTAAAGAAAAGTAAGCTGTATTGTGATCTCTGCTATATGCAGTGCAGCATACAGAGATGAGAGAAAGATGCTCCAGTTACACCATTACAAAAGAAGTTAATCGATATAAAATAAATTATGTTTAAGTCTGAGGTGTTCAAGAGAAGTTACAATTTAGATTTTACAGTTTTGAGTCGTTTAAAGTGAACAGTTTAACAGATTGTAAACCAAAGTAAGTTTTCTTGGTAGAAAAAAAAAGCCCATTAAGCGGTATTCAATTTGTATTTCAAAGGTATTTTAATGTGAAAAGGGAAAATTATGCAAATTATGAAATTTCCCCTTGTGGGACTAATAAAGGTATCTTATTGTATTCAAACTATATTTTGTACAAATACCATTTACAATAATGTATTCCATTTAAACATGATATTTAGATTGTGGTAAACAGCAAAGCAATATAAAATAAGGAAAAAGGAAACCATTCAAGTAACTTTATATTATGAACCGAAGAGTAAGGAAAAGTATAAATGAAAAGCATACAAGCATTAATGTATATAGATAAACCCAACAATCATATGACCCCCTATGAGCAAGCACTTTGGCGACAGTGGGAAGGAAAACTCCCTTTTGACAGGAAGAAACCTCCGGCAGAACCAGGCTCAGGGAGGGGCAGCCATCTGCCGCGACCGGTTGGGGTGAGATGCAAACAAATCAAAACTGTCCACAGAGCTACAGGGGCACACTGGGATCGCAACAGCAGCTATAGAGGGAGACAGATTAGGATGTTCTTTCCAGTACTGAAGTAGGTCGCTTTTCTTATGTGTGCGTTTTTCTCTGAGAGGTAGGTCTCCACTTTAGTTTCTTCTCATGAGGCATTCACGGATACTTCTGGATAAGGGTCATTTGGAAACAAGAGGTTGGCTGACTTTGCAAAAACAGCTAGAAAACAGATAAAAGCAAAACACAATTTAAAACAAAACAAGAGACATCACAAAGCGCAGGTTTCAGTTAGCGAACTGGCAAGTCATGATGATCTAATAAATATTTGCAAAAATAAATGTAACTTTAGAACTAAATTACCCAAACTAAATTAAAAAGGAAGTAAAAGAGAGAAATTTGTTTAATACTGGTGTCTTTTGATTAAGTAAGTTGCCATGTGAGGTAAAACCACACGTGGCTGTAATTTGGTGGCCTGTATATAGTTCCAATCAAAGCGTATAGTTGGCTTAAATGGGTTTAATACTGGTGTCTTTTGATCACTTGACTGTATATAAACCTGTTAAACAAAAGGTGCATTTAATTTCACTATACCTGCCCATCCTTGTAGCTGGTTTCTAGAAGAGTGGCACAGTTTCAACATCAGTGTAGAGCTTCTCCACTGCCTTCACTGGACAGAACACATCTGAGGAGTTATGAATGAATGGATGACTTAATGAATGGATGAGATTATAGTTTGTTTCAAACACTATCAATACCAAATGTTACAATATAAAGAAAGAAACAAAAAAAATACAAATGACCTGTTATGGCAGGGATCCCATCAGGTGCAGTTGCAGTCTTTCTGTTCACGTTTCTAGTCAGCTCTTCAATGGATGACAGCACATCAGCAGTCTTATCTATGAGCTCCCACTGGTGAGCTGTCAGTGTTGCTGGTAGAGCGTGCTCAGTCGCAAAGACATGAAGATCACGTTTTTGTTGCAGTAGGCTTCGCACCACGTAGAGGCTGGTGTTCTGTTGTGTCTGCGTATAAGAGAACATGATTGACTTTATTTTTCAACAAATTCGGTTCAGAGTGTATAGGAATTAATAAAATAGAAGTACATTAAAGAACAAAGGGGATACAACAAAATTCTTGCTTTCATAATGCTAACATGTAACCATATGTCTTTAACATTTAATGGTAATGTAACTGTCCACTATAAATCCTTAATGGAGGAAGACGTTTTTTTAAATTTACCTTGCTGCCTGGAGGACATAAGGAGGTGGGTCTATTCTCCGTTACCAAGGACAACCTGGCTGGTGCTGTCTGCCAACCCAGGAAAAACAGTATATAATGTTAAGACATTAAGTGACCTGACACATTAATTTCACTCTAAAATGCAATGCATGGCATGAACTGGTATGCCAGTTGGGTAACAGATCGTTTTTCTAGTGGACGTGTGTCTGAAATCTGATGAGAGGTTATGTACAGTTAGTCAAAATTATAAAACCTACTAACAGATTTGAAACAGAATGGAATATTTGATACTGAACAGTAGTGGTTACTAAACTTACAGAGCAATAAAAAAGAAAATCCCTATAGAAGACATTAAGTGACCTGACACATTCATTTCATTTAAATGCTCTGCATACCATGCACTGTTATGCCAGTTGTGTGACATTATAACAAACAATCCTAAACTGTATGGGTAGGTGTTCTTAACTGTCTCAAACGTGTTTCGAAAACTGTTCAACTGTCTGTGATCACTACTATATCTTCTTTACCTGGTCAGATGGAAAACTACTGACTGCCTCATCTTGGTTGTGGCCAGTGAGCATTGGGACAGCAGGATCGACCAGGTCAAGTGGTTTCCAGCGCTTCTTTTGTGCCTGGGATCTTTTATTTTTTCTCGGCATCTGGTAGAATGTCAGCAGAAAAACAGAATATTAATTGTTGGCATTTCAAGCATGTGATCAGACCCAGCTTTCATTTTAAGTCAAGCATAATAACCAGGTAGCTGCATTGGTAGCCAAAAGACTTTACAATGCAGTAAATCGACAAACAGTAAATGAATCAAAAATTCTGATGTATACCAGCAATTTTTTATTTTAACCCTCTGATACACAAGATAACTACAAGAACCAAAAAATAATAATAAATCTCTCTTTTCTTTAAATAGACATATTGATAGTGTCACTGCCCGGTCTTAAGGCTTTGTTAAGTAAAGTTCCATAACAGTTTGTATATTGTAATTGGGAAAGTGATTACCTTGAAAGTTGGGAGGCAGATTTGTTGACCACGACAACTACTCCATTTTGGTGTACAGTAATTGGGAAAGTAATTACCTTGCAAAGCTGGGAGGCAGTGTTGTTGCTGGGGCGCTGGTAGAATGCCAGCAGCAAGCAAACCCAGATGTTCACAGCTCCTACTTAACACCTTAAACTTTCCAAACAAATCTTACAAGAACATTTGGCAAAGTGATTGGCTTGCACACCTAGGAGACAGTCTTGTTGCCCACAACAGTTTTGTTATAGAGTAATTGGAAAATTGGGTACCTTGCAAGGCTTACAGGCAGTCTCGTAGCTGGGAGGCGGTCTTGTTGCTGGGGCTCTGGCAAAATGCCAGCAGCAAGCAGACCCAGATGGTCACAGCTCCTATTTAACACCTTAAACTTTGCAAACAAATCTCACAAGAACAATAGAAGTACATT